GCTTCTTTTCCCTGATTTTTTTTTAAAGCACAAAACATAAACCAAATTGCAAAGCCCTAGTGACATGCTCCAACAAGCAGGTGCCTGCAGAACCTTGGCTCCTGCCGCCTGCCTCAAGGTCACCATGACACAGCCTGGTTTGGGGAAGATGGTTATGTTCCAGACTATTCCAAAGACCCTCAGTGCGACAAACTGGCAGCTGCACACTCAAGAGGAGGCTTGGTGCATGTACAGATGCGGATACAGTTCTGTCTCTCTCATGCGCCACAGGAAAAATGTTCTGTGAAGGGTCAGAAATGTTTCCTCAGGGCTGCAGAGGTGGCTCAATGGTTATGAGCACTGTCTGCTCTTCCAGAGGACCTGGGTTCAATTCCCACCTCTCTCCCACATGCCATCTCACAACTGTCTGTAGTTCCAGTTGGGGGGGGGGCTCTGATACCCTCTCACAGACAGACATGCAGGCAGGACATCAATGTACATAAAATAGAAAAAACATTTTTCTTAAATGTTTACCCCCCCCAAAAGGGAAATGTCTCCTTAATGCTTCTGTGTACGGAGAAGGCCCTGGTGGGGGTGGGCAGGTTCCGCTGGACTGAGTCTAATGGAGGTAACACTGGGGATACTTGCTGGAACGGGACCTTAGAACTGAGGGCAAACTCGAAAAGTAGACCATAGCGCTCTCTTATTATGCCACAGCGCAGGAACGAAACATCACTGTGAACTTAAAGATGTCCCTTAATGTCGTTGCTTTTGCCCATTGAGTGCACTGCGGTCCAGCAGAGGGTGAGGTGGGGAAGCCTCGCTTGTCAGCTGTCTCGTGAAGGAGCCGGGCTCTGCGGCTTCTGACCCGGGTGCAGTCCGTGGGACTCAGACTGCTTCTGCATTTTCTTTGGCAATTGCCGCCAGAGTTAAGCATGGCCGGTGGTGCTTGTTGGAACGGCCACGCACAACTGCTTGGGTGTTCTGCTGAGAAAGAAAACAGTCTGGGACTCCCAGGAGCCCAGAACACCTCCTCCCAGTCACGGAGGCCGGCAGTGCAGACAGCACTCCAAAGGAAGTGCTGACGGTGATGTCCACGGAGCACATACACCACGAGGAAGGCCTGCCGCCAGCTGAGCCACCCCACAGCAGGCCCGGGGACCCAGCTGCCATGACTGTCCCCACCTTTGCCCACTCTTCTCACTCACAGACAGTGCAATGTCCACCTTTGCAAATTCCACTGCCTGTGAGAAATTGGCTTTTAATGTCTTAGATGCTCTAAAACTCAGGGTGGGAGTAGGCGCGTACAGAAAAAGGAACACTCTCGGGAAGTGCACACGCGTGTGCAAGCACACACGAAGTCCTTTGCGCTGCCAACATTCTCAGTGACTTCACTCATGCGACTGTCCAGAACTGTCGGAAATGGCTAGGCCAAGAATTTCGGTTGTGAATATTTCTGCAGTGATTTCGTCTGGAAGTTCTTTTTCCAGGCAGATTTCTGGATCTGGACAGGCAAGAAAAGAAAACCAAATGCCTTTGCGGTGATGAAGCTCCCAAGAAGAGGGAGTTCTCAAAAAACCCAAGGGAACGACACAAGGCGAAAGAGGGAGGCGGGCTGGAGAGGCAGCTCAAGCCATCTGTAGCCCCAGGGGACCCCGCGCTCTCTTCTGGCCTCCCTGGGCACCAGGCATGCACGTGGAACACAGATACACACTCAGGCAGAACGCCCTACACACACAACAAAAGCCTTGGCAGAAAAGAGGAAGCAGGCAGTACTGTGTGCTAAGGGCCACCTTTGACTCTTCAAACTAGTCGTTATGGAGAGAGACCTGTTAACCTCCGAGCATGTGAGGAGAGCCCCTCCCATCAAGCACACTCCAAGGCTCGGATGACTTGGGAGAGCTTGAAGCTGATGGGGACATGTCATGGAGGATAAAGTGCTCTCCATACAAGTGAGGATGGACTTCGGATTCCCAGGACCCACACATGTCCATCAGCCTGAGAGGCCTCCTAGCCAGCTCCAGGTGGGCAGACGGGGGGTTTGGGCGATAACTGAGTGGACCCTCCATGACTGAAGAGCCCCAGGTTTGACGAGAGGCCCTGTCTTCATGAATATAGGAAAAAACGATGGGGAAGACACATGATGCTTGCTTTCAGCTTCCACACTCACACACAGACACATGTGCATGCATAACTATTGGCACACACACAAACAAGAACTCACACCTGCGCATCGTACACATGTGCACACGCAAGAAGAATAAAAGAACTAGAAATGCGTGAGGCGGTTCAGTGGGTGACGTCATTTGTCTCCATAAAGACATGGGCTCTGTCTATCATCAGGACTGACAAGGTAGGAGGAGAGAGAACACATGCGCACTCACAGACACGCATGCACACATGCACACACGCAAGTGCATGCACACACACACATACGCACACACATGCACACATGCAGGGACACATGCACACACAGACAGAATAGAAAAAGACATAAAAGGAAACTTTTAAGAAAAAGAACTTGGAGCCAGTACACACTTATAATCCTGGCACTTGGGAGGCAGGAGGATCAGAAGTCCAAGGCTAGCCCAGGCTACATAAAGAGACCAATCACATATTAAAAAGAAAAAGCCATGCATGGTTGCACATGTCTTTAACCTCAGCACTCAGGAGGCAACAGGTGGATCTCTGTGACCTTGAAGCCAGCTTTGACTACATAGTGAGTTCCAGGCCAGCCAAGGACCTTAATTTCAGGCTGAGGCAGGTGGGATCTCTGAGTTCAAGGTCAGTCTAGACTACTTAGTGACTTCAAGGACAGCCAGAGCTTCATAGGGAAATCCTGTCTGAAGGAAAGAGAGAGGGAAGGAGGCCAGGAGGAAAAGGAGGGGAAGGAAGGAGGGAAGGGAGGTAGGGAAGGGAGGAAGGCACAAGGCCAGAAGACATCCCAGGACAAGCAGAGCTCTCATCTGGCTCAAACTTGCTGTCATCACCTATTCAAGGGATTCCTAGCAGACTGACTCTGTTGTGTGCAGGGTCTTAAGGAGAGTGGCCTGCACCAGTCGGGAGGAACAAATGCACTTAAGTCTATAACAAATTAGTGAGCGGCTGCTACAAGCCCAGACAAAGGCCAAGTACCTCTGACGGCGGTGGCTGCAGGCTCCGATTTCCACCCTTCAGGGTTCAGGCCAAACAGGGTCGCGAAGCAGTCATACATTTCTTCCTCTGTCATGTGCTCGCCTGGGCATGGGGGGGGTAAAAGGAGTCTGGTTAACTTTGGGGCTCTAACATCGGGGTTGAGAACTATGAGAAGGTCTATTGTTTGTTGTGAAGCTGGGTCTCCTGTATCACAGCCTGGCCTCAAACTCTATGAAGCTAGGATGACCTTTGAACTCCCAATCTTCTTGCCTCCACCTCCCAAGTGCTAGGATTATAGATTTGGGCCACCAGACCGGGTTTAGGCGGTACTGTGGATCCAACCCAGATCTTGGAGCATGGTAGGCAAGCACTGTATGACTGAGCTACACCTCCAGCCCTGCTGGGAACGTTCCATCATCCTGCCTGGACTTCCAGAGTGCTGGGATCCCAGTTGTGTGCCACCCCTCAGGCTAGAGAGCTCTCTCTTCTTAAATTTTACATTGTGTGTGTGTGTGTGTGTGTGTGTGTGTGTGTGTGTGTGTGTGCATGTTCAGAGGTCAGCGGACAGCTTCTGTTCTCTCCCGCCTCTCTGTGGGTCTTAGAGACTGAACTTGGGTCACTAGACTTAGCAGTGAGCACATTATCGGCTGAGAGCCATCTCACTGGCCCAGAGAACTTAAAAATTGTACTCTGCCATTCTTAAATAGAAGGACAACCCACAGAGTCCTATTCTGTCACAATACTTCCTTATACGGTGTTACAATGCTGGGAGAAGTCATTGGGGCTTGTAGAAAGAGGCAAGGCGGGCTGGGCGTTGGTGGTGCATGCCTTTAATCCCAGCACTCGAGAGGCAGAGGCAGGCAGATCTCTGTGAGTTCAAGGCCGGGCTGGACCGACAGCCTCTAAAACAATACAGAGAAACCCTGTCTCATAAAAACCAAAAAAAGAAAAAAGAAAAAAAGAAAGAGGCAAGGCAATGCATGCACGAAGGTTGGACTCTGCTTTATTTCAAGCTCCCTCTTCTCAGAGCCATCCCAGGTTGACTGCGATGAAAAACCCTCATACTTGTCAGATATGCAAGGCAGTTCAAGACCCTCACACAGGAGGTGTGGTCGTGATATCATGAACCATCATGACCTTATTATAGCCCAAGGAGATTGGTAAACTGGCAAACACCTCCCTATTTTACAAGCCAAGCTGGGTGTGGTGGTGTATGCCTCCAATCCCAGACGGAACTAGGGAGGTTGAGGCAGGAGGATGAAGAGGCTAGCCCCAGCTACAAAACATCATCAACTCAAGGCTAGCCTGGGCTACAAAAAAACAGCACAGGAGCATGCCGAGACTGGAAGTCTTGGGAAGCTGCGTGAGGAGCACATTTTTCTTTACGTATGTTTTGCACTTTTACTTATTTATTTTGTGGATGAAGGGAGGCACACGTGCCATGACCTGTGCTTGGAGGTTGGAGTACAACTTTTTCCGCCATGTGGGTTCTGGGTGTTGAACTCAGGTCATCCGGCTTTGTGGCAAACACCTTTACCCACTGTGTCACCTTGCCAGTCCATGGGTCACATGTTTCTCATTCCTAGGTCAGGGACCTTCTCATTAGTCCATACTTGTCAGATATGCAAGACAGTACGAGATGGCCCTGGAGGGTGACACCCGGCCACATGGCTGTTCCTCACAACAGATGGAGATCCCCACGAGTCTGCGTGCCCTGGCCAGACCTTCTCTGTTGGGAATGGCTCAAGGATGCCACCAGATGTCCTTGCTTGCATGTTACCTTTAGTGAGGAGTAAGTTCAGGAAATCCTCTCTCCGAATAGCCTTTTTCCCTTGGGAATTGGTGAAGCCCAGCACGTCAAAGCTATTCTGGATGCCAGCCAGGGTGTTCCCAAAAGGTGGCCTATGATTGAGATAAACTTTGAGGAAATCCGGTAAGTTGATTTTGTCGATCAGCCTCCCAGTGTCCACGTATTCGCTAAACTTGATCTCATTAAACATGTCATCAATCTAGAGAAAGAACAGAAAACAAAACAAAGACTGTGGTTCACACAAAAGATACTTGGCTATGCTGCTCGTGAAAGCTGTTGGAGGAGCGTGTGCTATGTCCTCCTAGGCATGGTCCTGAAGTCCTAACCTTGGGGGCCTTGTAGGAAATGGGGCCACTGCAGATGTAATTATAAATGAGGTCCTGCTAGAGCAGGGTGGCTTTCAATCCAATGTATCCATCATTGTGCCATTACAGTTTGGAGCCACACACACCTGTTTCCTCGTGGCCAGGAAACAGAATGCAAGTGTCAGAATGTAGGAGGAGCCCCAACCCGACAGCTGTCACAGGGAGCATATGGCACCGAGGACACTGATTTTAGATTCTATCAGAGGATGAAATTTTGTTGATTTTGTTCATTCTAGTGCCCTGGACACAGTCCTTACATCAAAATTAGATAAACTAACAGATAAGTAACTTTTTGGAAGACTTACTTTCTGAGTATGTCTATGCACACGTGTCTCTCTGTATACACACGTGTGAGTGCAGGTACGTGCGTACGCCAGAGGAGGATGTGGAACCCTTTGGAGCTGGAGTCACAGGTGGCTGTGAGGCTGCCCGATGGTACAGGAACCAAACTCTGGTCCTCTGCAGGAACAGCAAGCGTTCTTAACACCTGAGCCATCTCTCCAGTCCCTAGCTTCTTTTGTTTTTAAGCCACCCAATCCTGAAGATGTCACACTGTCCATACCATGTAGCTGTCACAAATACTATTCTACTATGTCACTTTTCACCCTGAGGATTAACCACTTCCTTATCCTGAGATATGTGTTAGTTCGTTTTAAGGATAGAATCTAGCCAAGCTTGCTGGTACACACCTGTTTCCTTGTAGTCAGGAAATAGAGGCAGCAACGTTGTCATAAGTTCGAGACCAATCTGTGTCTACACTGCAAGTTCTATGTTAGCTAGGGCTAGACAGCAAGATGCTGTTTCAATAAACAAGCAAAAAGAGTGCTTCCAAAACTATGAAGATAGAACCTACAAGAATTTAAAAATAGCGAGGCGTTGGTGGTGCACACCTTTAATCCCAGCACTCGGGAGGCAGAGGCAGGCGGATCTCTGTGAGTTCCAGACCAGCCTGGTCTACAGAGCGAGTTCCAGGACAGCCTCCAAAGCCACAGAGAAACCCTGTCTCGAAAAGCCAAAAAAAAAAAAAAAAAGAATTTAAAAATAAGTTTAGCTGAATAAGTATTTCAAAGAGCAACTCAAATATGTGACTTACACCCGAGTAAATTTATTTTTTTAAATGAATTTTTAAAGTTAGTATACAGCCAGCTGTGGTGATGCAGGCCTGTAATTATAGCACTCAGGAGGCAGAAATAGAGGCAGGTGGACCTCTGTAAGTCCGAGGCCAGCCTGGTTTGCACAGTGAGCTTCAAGTCAGACAGAGCTGCGTAGTGAGGCCTTGTCTCATGAAAAAAGAAAAGGATTCTAAGAAATTCACTAAAATCTATTAGAACTGGTAAACAAGTTTCAGTGATATTTCAGGGCATGATATCAATATGTGAAAATCAGAGTTGAAGAGATGGCTCAACAGTTAAGAGCAGTAACAGCTGGTTTCCAGCACCCACACGACAGCTTGTAACCATCCACAACTCCAGTTCTGATGCCTTCTTCTGACCTGAGCAGGCACTGCACACACATGGTGCACATACATACATGAAGGTAAAACACTCACATGCATAAAATAAAAAGTTCAGTATTTGAAAATCAATTGTATTTTTATACAATGGACACCATGAAGAAATAATCCCATTTCCTTCTTTTTGTTTTTTGGTTTTTTTTTTTTTTTTGGTTTTTGGTTTTGTTTTTTTTTTGAGACAGGGTTTTGTAGCTTTGGAGGCTGTCCTGGAACTCACTTTGTAGACCAGGCTAGCCTCGAACTCACAGAGATCCGCCTGCCTCTGCCTCCCGAGTGCTGGGATTAAAGGCGTGCGCCACCAACGCCCGGCTGCTGGTTTTAATCTTAATTTTATTTTTTTATTATTCTATTTGAGACAGGGTCTCATTGAGTTGCCCTGACTTGCCCAGGATCCACTCTGTAGACCAGGCTGACCTGAAACTCTCAGAGATGCACCTGCTTCTGCCTCCAGAGTGCTAAGATTAAAGACATGGGCCGCCACATCTGGCTTAATTTTTATTTTTTCTGACCTAGCTTGTGATCCAATTGCCTCCAGCCAGTTACTCATTTTTTATTATGATTTTTAAAGCTACCAACTAACTAAAGAAGAAAATTATCAGCACCTCTCTATTCCTCCATGCGGCGCTTTCCTGAGACGTCAGGGATCTCACGCTTCGTGGAAACACTACCCAGGTTCTCATTTCTCACCACCTCACTGGTTTATATGTTTTGTTACTTGAGCACGTGTCTCCAAACCAGGGGTTATTTACTTTCACTTTAAGGATACTTAAAAACAGATGATTTAAAACCTGTTGCTCTCAATCTGTTCCCTGCACAACTTCAGCCTGCTGGGGCCTCCGTTTTCATTCTTTCCCTTGCAGAATTTTGCTGCGTAGATACATGTGTCACGTTGGAGGGAAAAGGTGTGAAGTAGAACTGTTAGATCCTGGCAGCCTGCGCTCTTGGGAAACAGCATTATTGGTTACGAGGAACTGTAACCGAAACTGTGGACAATGCTGCATAGGATTAACTGGGTTTACATTAGACACAATTGTGCCTTGGATTATACATGAGTTTTATGCATATTAAAAACTGTTAGCAGCGCATGCCTTTAATCCCAGCACTAGGGAAGCAGAAGCAGGTGGATCTCTGTAAGTTCACTATAAAGTGAGTTCCAGGACAGCCAGGACTACATAGAGAAACCCTGTCTCAGAAAAAAAAAAAACCTGTTAGGATATTAACATGTTATGCTATGTGAATAGTACAAGGCAAAAAGATATATATTATCTAGAGAGGTTTTTAATTTTAGTAATTTTAAAGATTTATTTATTTTTAGTTTATATGTATGAATGTTTGCTTACATTATGTGATTGATGACTGAGAGGAACAGAAGGGTGTGTCAGACCTCCTGATGTGCAGTTACTGATGGCTGTGAGCTGTCTTGTGGGTACTGGAAAGTGAACCTGGGTCCTCTGCAAGAGCAGCAACTTTTTTTTTATTTTTATTTTATGTGCATTGGTGTTTTGCCTGCATGTATGACTGTGAGAGTGTCAGGTCCAGGAGTTACAGGCAGTTGTGAACTGCTGTGTGGGTCCTGGGAATTGAACCCTGATCCTCTGGAAGATCAGTCAGTGCCCTTATCTGCTGAGCCATCTCTCCAGTTCCAATTTTAATGATTTTAATAGTATCAGGGCTGGAGAGACGACGGTTCAGTAGCTGAGAGCACCCGGGTTTGATTCCTACCACACACATGGTGGCCCACAACTGTGACTCTAGTTCCAGGGGATTTAATGCCCTTGCTGGCCTCTGTGGACACCAGGCATGTAAGAGATGTACAAATATACATGCATGTGAAACACCCATATACACAAACATTTTTAAAAGGTAAAATGTACTAATTTTAATATTGTTAAAATATACACACACACTATTATTTACTTAGTAGAGAGTAAAGTTAAGTGGTAATTTCAGAGAACAATCTATCTTCAAATTCCAACACTGCCATTTTCTGTGTATGGCTTCCTGAGTGAGTTAATACTAGTTATTTCCAACTTTCTTATCTTGAGAGTGGAGCAAAGCATAACACATACGCACTGGGGTGGCTTGTGCTTTGTTTAGTCTGGGTTTTATTTTTGAGAATTTTTTGAGACAGGGTCTCATGTAGCCTGACCTTGCTATGCAGTGGAGCATGACCTTGAACTTCTGACCTCAGAGGCGTGTGCCAGCATGCCAGGTTTATGTGGTGCTGGGGCCACACCCAGGCCTTCCTGCATGCTAGGGGAGCCCTCTGCATCTCAGCTGCATCTCCTGCCTGCACTGGGTTGTTTTGAAGCATGGAAGTAAAGTGTCTGCATTGGGTAGGGACTGAACAGACAGTAATTATACTGTGATTATTATATTTTCTATGTGCTTACTAATTAGAATTCATGTAATTGCAATATAAATTATAATTCTATGTTAATGACATATGATCAGATTTATAAATAATAAGTATATAAATTATAATGCATATACATTACTGATGGAATATATGATTTAGCTCAATTCCTAAGTATGGGACTATGATGACAAAGGGAATTGAAATGTCTGCATTAGTCATACCCAGAGAGTCCCAAGGTCTCACAAGCATCGGCAGCACAAACCACTCAGGTGATTTGCTTCTTCCTCTCTAGCAATCACTGCTTGGGCTGTCGACATGGCTCAGAGTGTAAGAGGGCTTGCTGCAGCAGCCTGGCTTCTTGAGTTCAATCCCTGGTGAGAGACTGAATCTAGAAAGTTGTCCTCTGACCTCCACAAGTACACATCATTCACACATAATAAGTTGGCAGCTTGGCACCCCCCAATTGCTTCCTGGGCCTGTCTGCTGGCAGGTTCTGTGGCATGTCAAAACGAGGTTCCTGCTCAGGAGGAGCACTGTAGGGATAGGAGTGTCCCACCCAGCCTCTTCGGTATGCCCTGGAGTGGAGGCGACTCTGGAGATTCAGGTGGCCCAGATGATCACATAGAATGCTTTGCTGTCGTCAGCCGGGCCTTCTGTGGTATTCTCCCCTAGTCCGTCATCCGCTGAGGCAGGGGGCCAGTCCATCAGCATGGAGAGCTTTCCCAAGTCCTGAGGGCAGCTCCTGTGGCCAGAGACCCCGATTTCATTAGTTCGGGCACAGAGTCAGTCACACTATGTGAAGTATGACTGAGATTGTGAAGCCTGTCTCCAAGGCGAGGGTTCTCCAACTGCTCAGGCTGAAAGGCCTTGTTAACAAGTGGGCACTCCCACTGACTCAGTGAGCCAGGAGTTGGGGATGGGAATAGAGTGTTTGCACATCCTCAGGAGACTCTAAGCTTAGAGCCGCTGTTCAGCGGGGGAGGGTTCCACAAAGGTGACATTCGTGCCGGAAAGTCAGCACCAAGCCTGTGGCTTTCAGCAGGGCGAGGGCAGGTGGCAGCTGGTCCTTTGGGTTTGCATCTGTTCCCCTGGGAAACTGCAGAAGTGGCTCTCAACTCTACTTCCTCTGCTGCTGTGTAGACAGAGCCCGGCCTCACATGAATGAATATGTGAGTGAATGAACGAAGCAAGCGGTGATGGACCTCGGAGGGGGAGGGACGTCTCCTAGAATTCACAAAAGCAGCCTTGGAGAGATGGCTCAGTGAAGAGTGCTTGGGGCTCTCTAGAGGACCCAAGTTCACCTTCAAGAACGCATGTTTGGAAACTCACAACTGCCTGTGACTCCAGCTTCAAAGGTCCTGACGCACCCTCTTTTGGCTTCTGAGGACACCTGCATTCACACACACACACACTTAAAAATAAAAATCAGTCAGGCCGGGTGGTGGTGGCACACGCCTTTAATCCCAGCACTCGGGTGGCAGAGGCAGGTGGATCTCTGTGAGTTTTTGGTCAGCCTGGTCTCCATAATGAGTTCCTGGATAGCTAAGGATATTTAGTAAGAGACCATCTCAAAAAAAAAATCACAAAAGCCTCATTTGGAGTAGTCACCTCCTGCCAGAGTTTGTGAGGCCCAACGTCTAGTGCTGACTCAGCATTAGTTTGAGGTAGAACATTTATTGAATGATTTCTCACCTGATGAATAATCTGTTTTTGTTTTTTGAGACAGGGTTTCTGTGTATAGTCCTAGCTGTCCAGGAACTCACTCTGTAGACCAGGCTGGCCTCAAACTCAGAGATCCACCTGCCTCTGCCTCCCGAGTGCTGGGATTAAAGGTGTGCACCACCACCTCCCTGTGAATATTTTAAACCTTTAGACATGCAGCGTGCTGGCCCTTGTTGGTGTTGCTACCACAGACCCTGCAACACAGGGGTGACCTGAGTCCTTCCGGTGGAACAATTTCCCTTCAGCCCATTGCTGAACCCTGAAGGCCTTTTGGTTTACAGTCCCTGTTTTCAGCCATAGGAAGCCACTGAGGGCTTCTGAGTCATGCTTTATAATTAAGTTTTATTAGCTCCTTATTAAATGGAGAGGAACATGATACACTTGAACTAAGGCCTTTCCCATTTTCAGAGGAAGGCTCTGGGTGTCAGAGGCTCACAGGGCTGGAGGACGCTCCATACTCCCCACACGCTCTTCCTGTCGCACAAGACTCTAGAACATCTTTGACAAAGGGTGTCAGCCCTTCGCCACAGCTCATCCTGCAGGCCTCTCTCCCTCTCCTGTCGTCCACGCCAGCCATCTCACACTGATCTGGGGCAGGACGAGTGCGCTCCAGAGGGTGAACCACAGTCAGGCAGATTCTCTATGCGGCTGTCTGGAGACTCCCGAGCTCCAATGCTACCTACACTCCACTCTGTTCTTAAATCCCTGAGCAGCCTCCTCTCATCCTGGGGACATGGTACCCAAGACCTCAACAGATGCTGGAACAGAAGCACTGAGAGTGCTAACCGTCTAATCACTGCTTTTCTTTTACAGAAAAGGTCTCCCATCACCCAGGCTAGCCTCAAACTCTATATGCAGCCGGGATGACCTTGGAACTTCTGATCCTTCTGCCTCTACCTTCAAGTTGGGAGGACAAGTGCCACTGTACCGTACCCAGTTCCTATGGCCACACCTTTTAATATTAATGAGGCACTTTTCATGCAGAATGCCCGTAGTTTATGTACTTGGAGAATGTCCTCCTCAAAACCCACAGACAGGTACAAGATCTGTTCTTACCATAGATATTACAGCATGTCTTTTTGTCTTTGTTGTTATTGACACTGTTTTGTGGGCAGAGGTATCAAACCCATAGTATTTTTTAATCATTATTTATTTATTTATAGAGTGTTCTTCCTGCATGTCAGATGTGAGCCACTATGTGGTTGCTGGGAATTGAACTCAGAACCTCTGGAAGAGCAGTCAGTGCTCTTATCCTCTGAGCCATCTTTCCAGCCCCAAAAGATGTGCTTTTTTTTTTTTTTTTTTTTTTTTTGGTTTTTCTAGACAGGGTTTCTCTGTGGCTTTGGAGCCTGTCCTGGAACTAGCTCTTGTAGACCAGGCTGGCCTTGAACTCACAGAGATCCGCCTGCCTCTGCATCCCGAGTGCTGGGATTAAAGGCGTGCACCACCACCGCCTGGCCCCAAGCCCATAGTATTGTACATGCTCAGTAAGCACTCTGCCTGGCCCTTCTACCATATTAAGCAGAGAACTTCCCCCCCTTCCCGAGACAGGGTTTCTCTGTATTGCTTTGGAGGTTGTCCTGGAATTTACACCACCAACACCCGGCTTAAGCAGAGAACTTTTAACTTTCCCACCAGAAGCAGCACTTTATGATTTCTGTGGCATAGCCACTTTTCAGCACCACTATGTCTGCACTATGGGGACTTTCAATAATACTGAGAGTGACAAACTACCTTGTGACATTGCAACAGTCTATCAAAAGACAAGCACAGCTACTAAGTAACTAATGGCGGAGGCAAGTCTTCATAGCATGGACGCTTGTTAAAGTTTTAAAGAGATGCTCTTGCCTGAATGCCAAGTCCTGTAGCTTTCCCCCAAAGCCACGAGGGAGGAGTTGATTAGGTGCCCACCACTCTCAGAAATTCTGATCAGGTCCTGGACACTCTGAGGCACCCAGATGCATGCTGGTTCCAGTCAAGAAATTACAGGGATAGAAAGTTCCCCAATAGACAGATCAAAACTCCTGCCTGACAAGGCCGTTCCCCAAGAGTACATGCACAAGAGAAACAGAAAGCTATCCATCCACAGGGGAATGTGTTAGAACCGCACGAGTATTCACGATAGCATCACTCATAAAAGTGCAATGGTAGCAACAACGCAAATGCTCATCAAACCATGAACAAATAAAATGTGGCAAACTCACAGGAATGAAGAAAATAGTATTCAACAATGAAAGGAATGAAGGGGAATCGGAAAGATGGTTCAGCTTTTAGGAATGCTGACTGTCCTTACAGAGGACCTGGATTCTAGCACCCATATGGTAGTTTATAATCATCTGTAACCCAAGTTTCAGTGGATTTAATCTCCTTTTCTGACCTCCATAGGAACCAGAAATGAGCATGGTGCACATACATACATGTAGACAAAATACTCATTTGGGTAACTAAAACAAATAAATCCGAAAAATTTAAAAAGAAGACCCATTATCATCTCCACCACCGTCATCATCAGTACCATCACCACCATCATCATCATCACCACCATCATCACCACCACCACCATCATCATCACCATCAACATCATCATCATCACCACCACCACCACCACCACCACCACCACCACCACCACCACCACCACCACCATCATCAAGGGGGATGAAGAGAAGGCTCAGCAGTTAAAAGTACCTGTTACACTTTGGGAGGACATAATGCTTTCTTCTGGCCTCTATATGCAACTGCACTCATGTGCACAAACCCATACAGGGACACAAAAACACACAGGTAATTAAAAATTAAGGAGCCAGGCAGTAGTAGTGCATACCTTTAACCCCAGCACTCTGGAGACAGAGGCAGGTGGATCTCTGAGTTGGAGGTCAGCCTGGTCTACAGAGTGAGTTCCAGGACAGTCAGGGATACATAGAGAGATCCTGTCTCAAACAAACAAAAAAATTAAATCCTAAAAAAATAAGAATGGAGGTCTGAAGCATGCTACATTCTGAATGAATCTTGAACACACCAGGCCGAGTGAACTAAGCCAGGCATATCGCATACTGTATCATCTATTTTTATGCAATCAAGAATAGACAAGACCACACGGATGAGTGACAGATTGGCAGTTGCCAGGGCTGGGGGAGGAGGGGCAGAAAGTGGCTGATAACGAATATAGGGTTTCTTAAGGGGATGGTAATATCCTGGGGTTGCACAGGGTTGATGACTGCACAACTCTGTGAAAAACCCAAAAACCATTGAACTGCACACAGAAAACAGCTGCATTATATGGTGTGTGTTAAGTTACAGAAAACTTTTTTTTAATGTAGGCAGAGCCATAGCAAAAGCAGGCAACAAACTGTTCAATTTTAGAACATCGGTATCTTAGGAAATATATTTTTCCCACCATCATGGTGCTCCATCCAGTCTCTTATAATCACAAAGCTGGAAGAGATCAGTGCATGCTTGTTGTGAAAGCTTCCAGCAATGGGGACTTAAGAAAAACTAAATGCCCTGGGCAGGGTGTAGTTCAGTGGCCAAGTGCTTGCCTAGCACAGAAACAAACAAACATCCCCAGAAGTCCAGAGACATGCAGGGATCAGCGTGTCCACTCCCATGGTTGTCCTCCCTCTTTGTACCAGGGCACATGTGCAAACATAGAGCACCAGGTCTGAGCTCAGCCTGTGTGGTCCAAACTCTGGCTCTGCCCTCAGGAGCAGAGTGGCAGCGCCAGCTTCCTCCCTGCTCCAAGCTTCACTTTTACCATCTGTAAAATGGACAGAACAAAGAAGGCAAGGGCCAGCATGCTTCCAGAGGCCACTGAGAAGACCAAGCCCCACGGGCATTCTTCAAGGTGCGAGGTGCATGCTGAGGGGCAACAGGAAGACCCCCACCGGCTTTGCACTTGGTGTTAACAGTGTCATCACCTGCTTGCTTTATCCACTCAGGTAGCCTGGGATTCATTTATTGAAATGCTCACGCGGTTTGCCACGCAGTCTTTCTGCAGGGACCTCGCTGGGGGTTGTCTCACTCTAGGTCCTATAACAGCAGACCACCCCTCTAACTTTCAGGATGAAAATAACCTGATATTTGCTTCTCAAAGAAAGCAGGACCCAACACCCTAAGGGCCGCCCTGGGGGCTTTAATCAGAGAAGGAAACTGCACGTGATCTGTGATCTCGTTCTCAAGTTTCTCCCCTCCCTATGGGTGAGCTTGCACCAACTGGCTGTGGTTTCTACCCCAGCTGGGACCAGTTCTAGCAGATTAGCATACAAGGCCTTCAGGGGATCCTGTGTTTTTATCTCCTGGGTTTCGGTCCTGAGTACAAAAGCAATACAAACTATATGCTGGTAGCTTAAGAAAACCCAATAACATAAAACTGTATTACTCCACTCTTCACAACCACACTGCCAACGGGGAACAGCTGTTAAGCAAGCAGGCTTTTCGTGGTTAGGCCCTTGATGGGCTGATGGTGCATGCTGCGATAGAAGCCAAGAAGAGTCAAGAAAAATGAG